GGCAAAGCTGCCGCCTGTAGTGCTGGCATCCCATATGGGTGCCAGTTCGAGTCCCAGCTGCTCTACTTCCAATCTAGTTCTCTGCTGTGGCCTGGGAAAGTGCTCGAAGATGGCCCAGGTCCCTGGGCCCCTTCACCTGCATTGGAGACCTGGAAGAAACTCCTGGCTCCTGGCTTTGGATGGGCCCAGCTTGGGCTGTTGTGGCCACATGGGGAGTGAACTAACGGATGGAAAACCTCTCCTGCTCTCTCTGCCTCTGCCTCTTCCTCTGCCACTGCCTCTGCCTCTGTAACTCTGTCCTTCAAATAAATAAATCTTTGAAAAAAAATATAAATAAATAAATAAATAAAATGAAAGTAACTTCTTAAAAAAAGTAGAGATCAGGATAATGTTTAAAAAACATAATTCAACTATATGCTGTCTTGAAGGGTCACACTTTAAATTCAAAGACACTCTCAGGTTGAAAATGAAAGGATAAGAAGAGATACTCCATAAAAATAAGAATTAAAACAGAGGTGAATATAAAATCAGGAATACTATGCAGCATATCTTATGAAGACAGTTTTACCCTCATTTCCAAGCAGAAAAATACATCATAAGAAAATTACAGGGGCTGGCATTGTGGCATAGTGAGTAAAGCTGTTGCCTGCAATGCCAGCATTCCATATGGACACCAGTTTGAGTCCTGGCTGCTCCACTTCTGATCCAGCTCCCTGCTAATATGCCTGGAAAAGCAGCAGAGGATACCCCAAGTGCTTGAGCCCTTGTATCCATGTGGGAGACCCTGATGAAACTCCTGGCTCTTGGCTTTGGCCTGGCCCAGCCCTGGCCATTGCGGCCATATGGAGAGTGAACTAGCAGATGGAAGATCTCTCTCGTTGTCTCTCCCTTTTTCTCTCTGTAAGTTTGCCTTTCAAATAAGTAAAAGAAATAGAAAAAAAGAGAAAATTGCATATCAACCTTGTTGTTAGGGAGAGTTAAGCTTGTGATTATAGAGTAAATTGAAAGTGTGTCATTGTGAAAATCAAAAAAGAATTAAGGAAGAGAGGAGGAGGGAGAGAGAGAGTGAGGGAAGGAGGGTAGGGTGGGATGTATCATTATGCTCTTAAAACTATATGTTTGAAATTTGTTCCCTTTAAATAAATAAATTAAATCAAAAACATTGTTTAGGACTATAGAAGGAAGAAAATCTTAAATCAATGCCAGCAAACGAAGCCAAATCTGATAATACATAAAATAATTATATAACATGAACAAGTGGATTCTATCCTGAGGATTCAAGGTTGTTGTAACATCTGAAAATAATTTAATTTAATATACCATGTTAATAGAATGAAGGACAAAAATCTTATGATCATCTAAATAGACAAAGAAATAGAATTTGACAATTTCCAACACACTTAAATGGTTTTACAAAAAGGAAAAATCCTCCACAAACTAAGAATAGAGGAGAACTTCTTCAACTTGATAAAAAGCATCTAAGGAAAGACCATGGTTAGCATCATATTCAAAGGTTAAAGAGTGAAGGTTTCCCCATAAAGTCAGGAACAAGACCAAGGATACCCATCTTGGCACTTCTAATTAACATTTTACTAGAAAATTTAGCACAATTTAGCAAGAAAAAGAGATAAAATGCATCCAGACTGGGAATGAGGACATCAAACTATCCTTGTTTGCAAATAACTTGATCTAGTACATAGAAATTTTTAAGGAATCCAATTAACATTTTTATAACTAATAAATAAGTTCAAAAGTGTTAAAGAATACAAGGTAAATAAAACACCAATAAATTATAATTCTACACACTTGCAATGAAATAAAATTATGAAAATAAATTCAACAATGTTAAATAATACAAGGTAAATAAAAATAATAAATTATAATTCTACACACTTGCAATGAATGATATAAATTAAAATTATGAAAATAATTTCACTTACAAAGACATCAAAAATACAACACTTAGGAATAAATTTAATAGAAGAAGGGAAAGACTTACACAATGACAGGCATAAAATATTCTTTTAAGACATGAAAGGGGCTCTAAATGGAAAGGATCTCATGCTCATGGTTCAAAAAACTTAGTATTGTTAAGTGGTAATGTTACCCAAACACATCTAGTGAAATTTTCCTAAAAATCTAAGCAGGAATTATTACAGAAACTGACAAACTTTTTTAAAAAATTATTTACTTGAAAGGCAGAAACACAGAGAGAAAGAGAAGGAGATGGGGGGGGGGTGGTGAGGGAGAGAATCTTTCATCTATTGATTCACTCGCCAATGGTTACAACATCCAGGGCAGGGCCAGGCTGAAGCCAGGATCCAGAAGCTTCTTCCAGGTCTTCCACATGGGGGCAGGGGCCCAAGGCCTTGAGCCATCCTATGCTGCATTCCCAGGCACATTAGCAGGGAGCTGGATTGGAAGTGGAGCAGCTGGCACTCAAACCAGCGCTCATATGGGATGCTGGTGTCAGAGGCAGTGGCTTTACTAGCTATGCCACAATGCCAACCCCAAAATTGATAAATTTATTCTAAAGTTCATATGGAAAAGAAATCAATAATAGCCAAAAGAATTCAAAACTTACTAAAAAACTACAGTGATCAAGACAGTATTGCACTGTCATAAAGATATACCAAGAGATCAGTGGAATAAAATTGAGAATCTACAAGTTTACCTCTACATTAACAGTCATTTGAATATAGATAAGGGTTCCAAGTAAGTTCAGTGGGGGAAAGAATAGTGTGTTCCATAAATGGAGCTAGGACAACAGGATAGCCCCAGGAACATGAATGGACTTGAAGCCCTACTTCATGTAATATAAAACACTAAGTAAAAATGGATCATAAATCTAAATGTAATGGATAAAAGTAATTAAAACTTAGAAGTAAACATGGAAGGAAGTCTTCATGATTTTGGTTTAGGAAATAGTTTCTTACATATGAGGCCAAAAGTACAAGCAAGAAAAGAAAAAAAAAATAGATGAATTGGAATATTATAAAATTAAAACCTCGTGCCAAAAATTACACTATCAAGGGAGTGAAGAGACAATCCATGGAAAGACTGAAAATATCTGCAAATCATATTTCTGATAAGAGACTTGGCTCTAGGCCAGCGCCGCAGCTCACTAGGCTAATCCTCCGCCTGCGGTGCCAGCACCCCGAGTTCTAGTCCCGGTTGGGGCGCCGGATTCTGTCCTGGTTGCTCCTCTTCCAGTCCAGCTCTCTGCTGTGGCCCGGGAAGGCAGCGGAGGATGCCCCAAGTGCTTGGGCCCTGCACCCGCATGGGAGACCAGGAGGAAGCACCTGGCTCCTGGCTTCAGATTGGTGCAGTGTGCCGGCCATGGCGGCCATTTGGGGGGTGAACCAATGGAAGGAAGACCTTTCTCTCTGTCTCTCTCTCTCACTGTCTAACTCTGCCTGTCAAAAAAAAAAAAAAAAAAAAAAAAAAAAAAAAAAAAAAAGAGGGAGAGAGAGACTTGGATCTAGAATATACAAATATACAAATACTCTTGCAATTCAATACAAAAAGACAATCCAATTAAAATTAGAGAAAGAGTGCAGGTGTTTAGCTTAGTGGTTAAGATATTGGTTAAGATGATAGCATCTCTCTTCCAAGTGCCTGGGTTTGAGCTGTGGCTCCAGCTCCTGATTCCAGCTTCCTGCTCATGCAGAACCTGAGAGACATCAGGGATAGATTCCTACCACTCATGTAGGAGACCTGGATTGATTTCCTGGCTCCAGGCTCCAAGTTTTGACTTAGCCAAGCTCCAGCCATAGTGGGTATCTGGGCAGTGAACCAATGGATGGGAGCTCTCTGTCTCTATGTGTGTGTGTGTCTCTCTCTGTTTTCTGTCTATGATATATATATATATATGTAAAAATTGGAGACATAATTTGAATAGACATTTACCCAAAGAAGATATACAAATGGCTCATAACCACATGAAAAGAGTTAAACAATATTTGGGAAATCCAAATCAAAACTATAAGTGGATACCACTTCCCACCACCTGGGATGACTATTATCTAAGAGATGGATAAAAAACAATGGTGACAAAGATGGCAAGATATTGAAACCTTCATTCACTGCTGGTGAGAATGTAAAATGATACAGCTTTTTTAGAAAACAGTATGGTAATTTCTTAAAAACTTAAACATAGAGTTACCACGTGATGCAGCAATTCTACTCCTAGGTATATACTAAAAAAAACCTGAATATATATTCCACACAAACTTGTGGATAGATGTTCATAGCAGTACAATTATAAACAGCTAAAAGTTGAAAATAACCCAAATGCCCATCAACTGATGAATAATTAAAATGTTTCATACCCATAAATGGGACATTATTTAGCCACTGACCCATAGTAAAGCATAGATGCATCTTGAAAAAATGGAAAATGAAAGAATTCTGTCACAAAAGACTACATATTGTATTATTCCATTTATATGAGCTATCCAAAATAGGCTTTTGCTGAGACTATTCATTGTTACTTTCTACTTTTTTTTAATAAGTGGCTGTAATGTAAGCTATGTTATTTCCATGAGAGGAGATTTGGACTGAGAATGAAGTCTGTACAGGAAAGAGCAGAGGCAAGACACAGAGAAAGACAGATTTGTGAAGATACATGAGTATTTTGAGCATACAAATCCATTCAGACATAAAGCAATCCCAACGAAGTGAATTTACTAGTTCCAAGTTTAAAATGGGTCTCCACCATGTGCAATGGAAGAGTTCTAACTAATATGGTTGGTTAAATAACCAATTATTTTTTACTCTCACAGTATTTAATATATCATAAATATAGAAATGGTGCAATTTGGGATTTTATTGACCATAATAGCAAGGTCTTTTTGCAAATAATGATTCTTCACCAAGATAATTGGCCAACAGAAAACATCAAATTCACCCTAGGGCTATACTTATATACATATACATTAAACACTTAATAACACATATATAACTATGTCATATTCCAATTTCATTTAAAAATACATTACTTTTTAGTGGTGATGGTAGTCCTTCCACTACTGGAGGGTTGGTTGTGAGATGAATATATTTCTTGTCTCAATTTCGAGAGTTCCTTGAAAATAAAAGTCATAATAATTTGAAGAAAAGTAGAAGCATGAAGAAGTATGTTTGATCATATGGAAGTTTCCCACGAATAATTGATGCTCTCCTTTCTGTCCTTCTTAGTCTTGAGGTAAGGAAGTGCTAATCCCACTTGTCGAATATCATATACTATTGTTTAACAGTATCTAAGAAGTTACATTTTATGCCTGTGTAAGGACCCACTAACTAATGCAGAAAATTTGTATTTGGAGGATAACTTGAGATTGAATGTGCACAGCTCTCATGATGAGCATGTGAAAATTTTGTCCTAAAAAGCTTGATAAGTATAGCGAAGGCACAAAAGCACTAAAACATCAATATGGAAGAAGATATAGATTCCTATCAGAAGGTCTATAACTGAATATTACTACAAGCACCGTTTTTTTTTTTTTCAGTAATGGTAAGACAATATTATCCACCAACTCTGGTAGCTCCATTATGACCTAGTATATGCCAGATTCTGGATTACATGCTACAGATACAGGAAGAAATGTAATCAGTGCTTTGATGAAGCAGGTTACAATCTAGCAAAGAGCTCATAGTCTTACTAGGAGTTGCACTGTAGATGAGATATAAAACCAGTTTAAACATATAGTACCATTCACTTATTTGATTCAGTTCCAGCTTTCATTTGAATTATTTCTGCTGATATACAAATCTTCAACTTCTTCAAAGCACTTACATTGTTTTATGTTATGAGTCCTGAAGATGTGTCCTTTCCTAGGCCAAGAGAAGCATTTATCCTACAGGACTGAATTGTATCATCTTCCTTCACCCCAACACTTTTCTTTCTTACCTCTGACTGACGCTTTATCAGAGAATCTTTCTCTTCAAGCAAGCTTGTCAGTTCATGAAGCTTGAATTGGAAGTCACTACAACTTCCTTCTCTTCTTGAAACATCTTTTTGGTACTGGTTTAATTGTGACTAAGGATTTAAAAGAGAAGCAATTAATTTTATTATAACTTTTATTTATAAATCTTGAAACAGGCTTATTGACACAAAATCATATAGCTAGTTCATAACTATGAGAAGCAATGTATAGTATTTATAAATTTGTATAGAATTTTATGAGTATAAAATGTGAATTGAAATGTCAATTAGGAATTTCTAACTTTTTTCTAGAAAAATATTATTTATTTGAAAGTCAGAGTTACAGAGAGAGGGAGACAGAGACAGAGATCTTCCATCTGTTGGTTCACTTCCAGATGGCTGCAACAGCCAGAGCTGGGCCAGGTTGAAACCAGGAGCCAGGAGCCTCATCTGGGTCTCCCACATGGGTGGCAGGGTTACAAACACTTGGGCCATCTTCCTCTGCTTTCCCCAGACCATTAGCAGGGAGCTAGATAGGAAGTGGAACAGCAGGGACATCAACCAGCACCCACATGGGATGCTGGCATTGCAGGTGGCTGCTTTGCCCACTACACCACACCACTATCCTGAGGAATTTCAAACTTTTTAACTTATTTATTTAGAAAGGCAGAGAGACACACAGAGATTGAGAGGATAGATTTTTGGTCCACTCTCCAAATGTCTATAATAGTTGGGGCTGAACCAGACCATAGCTAGGAGACAGGAACTCATTCTATGTCTTCCACATGGATGGCAGGGATCCAACTATGTGAGCCATCACCTGATACTTCCCAGGGTGCACATTAGCAGGAGTCTGGAATTGGGAGCAGAGCCAGGACTCAATCACAGGCACTTTGATATATGGGACATGTATCAAACTGGTGTCTTAATCACTGTGCCAGTTGCCTGCTCCAAGAATTTCTCGTGTTTGTAAAGATGTCTTTGTTATTTAGAACTAAGTGTTATCTAAGTAACAATCTTGGACCACAAGAATTAAAATAAAGCTAAGAGGGGCCAGTGCTGTGGTGCAGCAGGTTAAAGCCCTGGCTTGAAGTGCCGCTATCCCATATGGGCACTGGTTCATGTCCCAGCTGCTCCTCTTCCAATCCAGCTCTCTGCTATGGCCTGGGAAAGCAGTAGAAGATGGCCCAAGTGCTTGGGCCCTGCACCCACGTAGGAGGCCTGGAAGAAGCTCCTGGCTCCTGGCTTCGGATCAGCACAGCTCTGACCGTTGTGGACAACTGGCGAGTGAACCAGTGGATGGAAGATCTCTCTCTCTCTGTCTCTTCCTCTCTCTGTAACTCTGTCTTTCAAATAAATAAAATCTTTTTAAAAAATAAAGCTAAGAAAATAGGTACTATAGATTTCTTCAAATACTAAGTAAACCTCAATACTAATAACTAATATTATCTTGTGATATTCAGCTCACAAATTATTCCTCTGATAAGAATTATCTCAGTTCTCATAGTTTCCCTATGAGATAAGCATTATTATAATCTTCATTTACAAAACAGGTAAATGCATTCCAGAGAGGTTAAATGACATACAATCATGCAGTAACATAGTTGCAACTCCAAGACAAGTTTTCGGACTACAAATCTTATTCATTTTCCTCTTTACCACATATGTGTACATAGATGGATGTTAGGTTATTAATCACACAGGGATGGAAACGAAACCAGGGGAGGACAAATATTGAAACATTTTAGGCATTTTAACAAATTGTGTTTTGTTTCATTTTGTTTTTCAATAAAGATTACACAGTGATATTGGCAGAGAAAAACCTATGGTCATTTTGTCCATTAAAATATTTAAATAAATCTTATTACATTTAGAAATCATTAAATTAAGTCAATTCAACCTAGGATTACAAGAAAATTATATTCTTGCAGATATCCCAATTTTGATGCCAATTATAGGTACATAAAATTTGATAATATTTTCATCCTCATTCTTGACAAAGTCCTTCATGCTTATTAGTCCTCAAATTTATTTGAGGATTTTTATGAATCCAACATTGGGTTTGCTGAGTAAACGTGAATATTATTCTTGTTTCCATAAGCATGCTTTAGGGAAGATGCTAAAGGGCCCTCCACCTGCATCCTCAAAGTAAATTAATAAAAACTCAAAACATGGGCATTTGTATCTCATTTTACTTTTCTAGAAGAGATTAAGCTAAATTAGAAAACAATTTAGCAGTGATACTTTATACCTAGTGATGTATATTTTAAAACAAAGGATCCTATGGCATATTCCTAAAACCTTACCTTCAGTTAATTTATCCTTGTGACTTAAAAATGAAAACTATCATTATCTTTTAGAAAGAATATGCTAACTTATGTATTAATGTAACATGGGATCAACATACCCTTAGCTTGCAGATCTCTCTATCTTTTTCCAGTCTCAAATTTTTTACCATCTCCATATAATGGCTGCCAATCTCATCCATTTTAGCCTGCAGCATAGGGCCTGTGCAAGTCTCAGAAACCTATATAATACAAAGTAACTTTTTATAATTGGAATGTTATTAAGGCAATGCAAATATATCACAAGACTTATTAGATGAAAACTATGAGTTAAACAAAACATTGAAATGGTCATTTTGAGAAAATGCATTATAAAAGTAAAATATCAGTGAGATTGGACGTAACTGAATGCCAGATCATTAGAAAGCAATCCATGTACTTTCTCAAAGTGAATAGGATATATGTATAAGTATGTAACTTCACTATTACCAATGCTAAAATTACAACAGTATAACTAAAGTAATACTACATATTTAAAATAAAACTTTTAATACCTGTATTCTAAGGTTTTTATTCTCCTGCTCTAAATTACGTTTACAATATTCCAGTTCTTTTAGTCTATATTCCATGTCTGAAAGTGTATGCCGGAGAGAGAGATTATTTTCTTCCAATGACTGACATTTTGAGTTTGAGTCTTGAAGCCCTTGCTGTAAAAAAAGACACAAGCACATAAGACAAATACATTTCACTTTTTCTGGGATAATTCTCTTTTAACTGAGTCACTGAGTACCTTGCTATGCTCAATTTTCTGCTTGTCCTTAAATGGTATATTAAATAATCCACATAAAATATTAATTTCACTTGCCTATCTTGAGTTGGAAGGAGTAAATATTATATGAATTTTCAATGTCCAAATTCAGTAATGAGATACTTGCTACTATTTTACAATACTGTATCCTGTCTTCCAGTAGGCATCAAAATCACCAGATGCCTGATTATATTTAACTATCAACTGAGCAAAATTTTGGGACAATCATGACAGTGAAGATTAGGAAGGAGTGAGCTTTAGAAATTCATTAAAAATTTCCAAGAACCATCTCTGTTCAAACATCTGGAGAAATCCTCTAGAATTGATTTACTTATTCATTGCACAAGCCTAGGCCCACCAAGGCTTTTCCACATTGACATGTTAGTAGATTAAATGAAAAAGTGAATGTAGGTTTGAGTATATATCATTATTGTCACCCAACAGATAAATTGTGCACCATATGGTACACAGTACCATATATACTTTATATTTAAAGCACATAAGGTTATCTGTTTTTTGAGACTGCTTTTAGTCATCAGAAATCCAAAGCCATTCAATTTCCATATAGTTCTATCATGTTTTAATTCTGTCTGGATTATAACTCATAAATCCAATGTGCCAGTCATAGTGCATATGAAAAGCTATCAATCTAGTTTATCATCAATAAAAGCATCAACTTACTTGTTGCTGGCGATTATTTGCTCTCACTGATGCCAAGAGTTCTTCATACTCTTTTATTTGAGTTTCTTTGAATGCCAGGTCTTTCTCAAGCCGTATCTTGTCGTTTTCCAGTGACTAGAGATATAATATATTTGTTATGATTCCAAATTACAGAAGCTTCTCAGTAGTCACATATTACAAAACTTGCTAACTTTAAAATATTTAAATAAGCATACTTTTACTTTGCAGTAGCTTAATTAAGCAGAATTCTCAGAAGTTAAGCAAAAATATGGGATAGAAAAGGATTAATACTTTTAAAATCTGCATTGAAGGAGACAATTTGATGGGTGGACCAACACCACATGTACTGAAGAATATTCTGAATTATTTTAATGTTTTCCCCAGTCAACAAAGACTCTTTGTTAACTCTAGCAGGTGGTAAAATTTCAAATTAGAGTCAAACCCAGAAACCAAAAACCACTCCAAAGTCCTCAAGGAATAATTCACCATATGGAAAGCATCCTGAATTATCTAGATATTGGTACCAAAAAGACCAATTAAAATATAACATATAAATGGTTAAGTTCTTGAAAGATTTTTCAAGTTATTTCTTTCAAGATAAATTCAGAGTACGCTTTCTTATTAAAGAAAAGAGGGAATTTCCCATTCAATGAGTCAAATTATTCTAATTTTGCAGGCCACTCCTTGTCTTCAAGCATTGAATTACCTTTCTGATAAACTAAATAATAAGTGCATATCCAACACTCTTTTATTTACATATTCGGTACCCCTTTTCTCCTCTTTAACCCCAATTAACTGTTTCAAGAAAATAATTTAGCTATGTCTGAGTGAACATAATACTGTTAAGCTGTATTAAGTTTTTAAAAGGTAGACTGAATGTCTTGATTTATGTTAGCAAGCCAGGAACCAGAAACGCTTTGGAAAGAAAAATCAAAATAAATTTTACTGTCAAGTCATTTTGAAGATGTCCAAGTTCCTCTCGTATGTTGCTGAAGGTAGACAGCACTAGCCGGAGTGACTTGTCAGACATACCCCTCATCTGGAGGAAGAACAAGATTGGTAGTCTATTTTTATTAACATTTGAAATTAGATGATGTTAATGAATATAATCTTATTTTTCTCTTCTCATCAGCAGCTTTATTAATAATTTTTTCTTTGAGACGGCAATATTAGAATGGTAATACAGTTTATTTTTTCAATAATATTCTGAAGCAATATTCTTGACGAGATCACAGGTAAAAAAAATGAGGTATTTTTTTGGTGACAAAATATCACCTTTCTCTCAAGGAAGAATTCTAGCAACAAATTCCGTTTTACTCTTATTCTTTGCTTAAAAGAGTGGAAATTATGAGAAGGAGACTACCCTTTCACAAGATTATTCTCATTTCTTCAAATAAGACTTGTTTAGAAAATAGGCAACTTCAGCTTCTAGAACGATGCAGTAGAAACATTTGTCCATAGTCCTCCTGTTGAGTAAAACTAAAACCCCCAGAAAGTATGTAAAAACAACAACAACAACAAAACTAAAAAGCTTATAATGGTGAAAAAATGGAAAAAAATGAAAAAAGCTTGTTAGAAATATTGCCATCTGAGAAACGAAGCAGAGTAAGTTCCTGGATTTTCTTTTTGCTTTGTATATCACAGACTGGTTTTGGGGAAACTGGTATTCTAGATACACCAATGGATCCAGATAACAAAAGTCACAAGGGAAGCTTTTTTTTCTCTAGCTAGAGGGCTATGACAGAAATAGCCTAGCAAGGCAACATTTTTAGACAATAATCACTGTACTCCAGCCAAACACCACAAAAATACTGCAAAGCTACTCCCCTGCTAGCCATCAAAGGTCAAGGGGTGAGCCTAGACTTCACCCCTTGACAGGCTGTTACGGAGGCAACCCAACACAATTCACTAGGTTGGTGTACTAGGTTGGTGAACTCCATGGAGTTCCTGGTTCCTGGATTCCACCTGGGTCAGCCCCACTCCTAGTCCCCACTGCAGCCATTGGGGGGTGAACAGTGGATGGAAGACTTCTTCTCTGCCTTTCAAATAAAAAATTAAGTAATTTTTTTTCAAAAAAGTGTTCCAACTATGTGTTATATGTAAGAAACTCTTTTCAGGGGCTGGTATCATAGCACAGTGGGTTAAGTTCTTCCTATAATGCTGGCATACTATAAGAGTGCCAGTTCAAGTCATGGCTGCCCTGCTTTTGATCCTTGTGCTTCAGCACAAACATAAAGTACTTTTTTATCATCTTGTGCAATGTGTTAAGTATTTTCCCCAAATTTCCAAATACTAAAGTTTTAGAATTTTAGGAAACTTATTCTAAAATAAATTTATATTTTTATTATTTAACAACAACAAAAAAGAAAGTGGGAGTGGCTATGTTGACATTAGATAAAATCCAATTCAGAACAAAGAAAATTACCAAGGGCAGAGAGATATAACAATGAAAAAAGGGTCAATATACCAAGAAGACATAGCATTCTTAAGTGTTTATGCACCAAATAATAGAGTGGCAAAATTTCCTAATTTAAATGAAATGGACTACTTCTTTGAAAAACTTAAGTTTTATTTTTTTTTTTCCTCTTTGGAAGCCTCCCTCCCTGCTACTCTGGCTGAAGGTCTCTGACTCTAATATATCTTGCTTTTAAATCTCTCTGCTTGTCCGTTTGGAAATTCTTCTTCCATGTGAGACAAAGAACTGAGATACTAATATTTTTTCTCTACCGCCATTTTACCCATAACATTTTTGTGTCATGACTCAGACAGCAACTCCAATGTGATGCAGATCCCACTGGAGTTTGACTCCAGCCAGCATCATCCCACCGTACTGGTGAACTGGTGAGCATGTGGATGGCTCTTGCCTTTTTTTTTTTTTTTTTTGAGAATTTCACTCTCCTCCATAGCAATTCTTATTCTTTCAAAAACACCGGGTCTCTATCAGCCATTTAAAAGAAATTAGCACAGCTGACCATCTTAAGACTCAGGGGCTAGGCTTGCTGATTAAAGCCAGCGCAATCCCCTGGAGCTGAGACTATTCTAACCCTTCTCTTTGGTCTGGATTGACTGTTCCTGAAAGAACTGGGAAAAGGCCTTGAGATGACTGAAGGACTCTGGCCAGGGCACTTCCCAATGTGCTCTGAAAATCTCTTGGCCAGACCCCATTCCCTGACAATCCCATGTGGGTGTGGGGCTGTGAAACACCTCCCCCTCCCTCTTGCATGGACTGGCCCTTCACATGGGACTGGAAGAAAGCTTTGAGACAACTGAAGGTCACCTGGCCAAGTACCAGAGTTCCACTGCCAGAATGGTGTTGGACCGAGAAATACACTTTCCAGCAGGGAGCCAGTCCCCTGCCCTTTTGGAGTCCTCACACGCTGTAAAGCCTGTGGCTCCACTCTTCATACTTCTCAGCTCTGGGAATGTTGACTGGTCCAGCTCAGCTTCCTTTTGCCAAGATTGGCCTGACACATGGGACTGGGAGAAGGGCTTGGAGCAACCTCGAAATTCAGGCCATGGCCACTCTCTGGCATTTTTCAAGTACTCCCTGACCAGACACCAGACCCTGACAGCCTGTTAGGGTGTTGGTCGAAAACTGCATTCTGTTTTTCCTTCCTCAGAGGTTAATTTGTCCGTGAGACTGGGCGCAGCTTGGAGAGAGGCCATGGGCTCTGGCTCCATTGCCTCAATGAATTTTTCCTTTACCCCAGAAACTGACAACATCTAGGTCTTTCTGTGCTCCTCTAAATAATGCTTTCTGTACCTTGCCAGGTCTCCTCAAACTCAATTTGGTTCCATTAGTGGATATTTCCTAGATATTTCATTCGTTAGCTCTGGGGTAAAGTTTGATTATCCCATTTACAGACAGTTAACTTTTTGGTTTAGACTCCGATTAGATGCAGGCCCCACATGGCCTGAACTTGTCTCAGAATGTCTCTGGTATCCCCTATCTTTCTTCTCAAGTCCCCTCTTTTGCGTCACTTCCTATGAGAGAATTTTTATTCCCCCACTCTGCTTCTTTGTTTCTTCACCTGCCTAGTTACCAACCTAGATGCTAACCAGGACTGGCACTTTCTCTCCAAACTCTAGCTCAAAACACCTTTGTTTGCTAAGTCTCTCGCCATGAAGGCTCATTGTTGAAATCAGGCCTATTAGATAAGACTAAAGGTTAAGAGGCATATATAGACCAATTTTTTTATTTATAATTACAAAGTGACAGTACATATTTGACCAGGCAGAGGCCCAGTCTAGCACACCACCAGTAAGGGAACTGATCATTCCCTGCTTGCGTTATTCTGAAAAATATATACACCCTAGACTACAGGTCTGGAAGGCTGAGCAAGAATGGGAGATATGTGCTAATCTCACCCTTACCTTCCTCCCTTCCCTGTGGACTTCAGTGCACGTCCGGACACCACAGGCAACGAGAGAGTTTTGAAAAATGTTTCAAACTCAGGAGAGATAAGATCTGAAGTATGCTTCCATTTTTATCTTTTCATTCCAGCCAGGAGGCAAACCATCCACTTTGAGATTTTTCTTTGACCCCTGAGCTTAACAAAAAATGCCTCATCTTTTTCTGCACTACCACCTAGCCTGGTTACAGGCTAGAGGATGGGAAGTTAGCTTAAGTGAGTTGTGAAAAGTGTCAGCCCCTCTACTCTGACTCCCTGAATCAGAACTCTGCCTCCTAACTGGCCTCTTGCCTCTATTTCCCTGCATGTGCTCCAATATGCATTAAATTTTTTTTCCAGAGTGTCACAGGTTCCTGGGGTGTAGTGAGCCACCATGGTCCTTCTGTTATCACATCTGACTATTGCTGAGGCCTTTAATCCCCAGTGGAGGAGAGTTTTTATCAAGTGACCATTGCCCCCGGGGAAATTTTGTTGTAATTTTCCCAGGGTGGGGGGGTTCTAGGCAAGAATAGCCTCTGATGAAATAGCAACGGGTAATCAGTGCTTGTTATAGGCCCAATAACCTCAGCTTTGCAGGGCCTCCAGTTTTTCTCCCTCTACTCTGCCTCTTTGTGGGCTCTTACAGGAACCCTCTTGTAGGTTGTTGTGCTTCATTCTGCCTCCTATCAGATTCACTTTAAGAATCTCTGGAGGGGTGCCCATCTGTTCTGATTGATGTCCTCTCTCATTAAACCTAACATAGTGGTGAACAATCTCCAGTGCACCACTTGTCCCTGGCACATAGGCCCCTAGCCCACAGTCACCCCTGGGACCCTATGGCAGCTGCCGAAACTTTTGTTACAGAGGCAGTCTGAAGCAGCTAACTGGTGACTGGGCATCACTTGCTCTAGACTCAAATTCCATTAGAATCTAAAAAGATGTCTTTGGTAAATAACAGTCTCATGCATGAGAATTGGTTAAACTGTAACTGGACATTGGGTTTAAAGGAATTTCTCTCTTTCAAATCTAGGAAGATCACTGCCTTTAAAAGTATTGTTTTGTAACTTGCGGAACTTGTTTTACAGCCTGGTTTAACAGGTTTCTGATGAAATAGCAATGGGTAATCAGTGCTTGTTATAGCCCCCCTAAGGTGGATTTTACAATCTCTGGTTTAATGTCACTGATGTATAGCTAGAGTTTTATAAAAAGGAGTATAATTCCATGCAATTTTGATCTTAATTCAGATAAAGGTATGATATAACATCAGCATCTTCAGTCATGTAGGTGTAATCGCTAAAGATAAATTGTATAAAGGCAAATGAGATAAATGTGTCTAAATGTAAACTTTCGTACTCTTAGCACCTTATATTCTATGGGAAAACTATTTCGGTTTGCTATCATGTCTCCATAAATTGTCCACATGAAAATAGTTCAACATTACTTCAAAGTAACTAAGGTTGAAATTTGATGTGTTATCTTATTTAGAAAATATTTTAATTTAGAAATTTTTACATAGAATTAGAACCTGATCCTGTTAAAGCAATGAAGTTTTTGCAGTGCATATATTTTAGTAAATATTTTGAAATAGTCTAAAAAATCTTTAAAAAATTGCAGCATCTCCTTTTAATAGTTTTTGTTTAATTGGTGA